AATAGTCATTATAATATTATTGGAATATATACTTATTGGTATTATTCAGACCGCCTTTGTAGCCAAATGGTTAAACGTATTGCCTAACATTGCGTTATGCGTAAGTGAGGTCCTGAGTTCGAAACCCAAGGGTTCAAAAAAAAGTTGTTTTGGTCGGGTACGGCACAGAATCTGATCACTACTTGCATATTAAAAAGAACGGTTGAGTGAAACGGACACAGAAATGTGTTCGCCCCATGTTTTCACTTTTATAATTATTAGAATACGTTATACAGCTTGAAACAAGAAATGCAACACTAACATTATACAAGATACATAAAAGTTAAACGGGACGAATTTTGTATATGTCAAAAACTGGTTTTTATATAGTGTAGATTTTCTTCGTGTTTACTTAAGACTCTCGTGAAATATTTTACATTCACTTATTCAACACTCGAGGGAGGAATAAGTTTGCGGCGGCCGAAAATTTCTGACGTTATGAGAAAAATTTTCCTCACCCTATTTTCCTACATCGTTTTTCTATACGGGTGGAAATGTGTTACATTTTCTTATGCTAAACCGTATATTTCTTTAAAAAATTGTTACGGTTTGTGGGTATAATATTATTTCTACAACTAACACTCTTAAGTAATGTAAGGGCGGGAGTGATAAACATTAAATACTTGAACAACCGTTAAACAAATTCGCGAAGTATATGACCCAACTTTTTTTTAATGTATTTACAGCCGTGGCCACGGGGGGACTGAAAATGAAGAATATCCTATTAAAGGCAAATCCGCTACGCCAACGCCGCCTGTGCTAGGTTCTTAAGTGTCCTCCAGATTTTTGGTTACTTTTAACGGTTTGGTTCTGTTAAATGGCGACATATCAACCAGTAAGTATATAACCCCGGAACAACTGCGGCAAAGCACCGAAAGCCTCAGTTCATAGTTAAAATAAATGCAGAATATATTTCACGTTTAAAACCTTTCTATTTATATATACAATAAACTTATTTACGTATAAACAGTATTAGTACGATTCTATAGAAATTATAAATGACCTTTGTAGAGCATCTAGAGGCCGGTGACGAATGACGTCATTCGTTAGTGTGAACTGTGACGTAAGTAGGAAGTAACATCGACTCTGACCGTGTCACAGAATTACGTAGACAGTGAACCCTCGCAGCCTCCCAGCATTATTATGTAATATAGTATTGTATTTTTAATTGCTATTAAAACTAATGCGAGGATTTCTCTCGTTAAATTTTTCGCATTAGACACTTTCTCTCGGGAAGACAACTCTTATGTATTCTAAAACACATGATTGGCGATGGGTATATTAAAATGGATTTTAGATTAAAAATATTCAATCGGTTAGAGCAAAGCACGTTGTGGATTCCGGTTCAAGTTCTACCTGAATAGCTTATATCAATAATTTTGCACGAAGCTTTAAATTATTTAAAACAAATGTCAGTCAGTTTAATAAGTTTAACTAATATATATTGCGTTTTAAACCGTTAACACACCGTACACAGTACTCCACTCTCCAAGCTGAGAATGGAGAAATTAGACATTTAAATTTAAGCACCTTCTCGTTGTCAGATTGATCTGAAATTTGGTACATTTAATTTAGATCACATACAATATAATAAAATCAATAACAATATAAATCCAAGATGGCCGCCGATACAAAATAGCGGATTACATAATTTTCCTTAACCTCCTTAATATGGGTATCATATGAAAGGTCCACACTAGTAAAACACGATTATTATTTCAAAATTTAAAATTTTTGTAGTTTTTGGGCACTGAAGCCCAAAAAATAAAACCATTTGGTTTAAAACTGTTTTAAGTTGATCCTTTATACTCTATTTATATATCCTTCTAGAAAAAAAGTAGTGTTCCTTTTTTAAAAAAGCAAATATCACAGATATAATGTTTCGTTTCCGAAGACAGATATTGTAAACACTTGTATAAGTTAAGAACGACGTATAGCACGATTCGTCCCAATATTTCAGCGTATAATCTGGAATACATTGTTCCGATCCAAATCTGTCCTGTCCCCACGCTCGTAACAATTAAAACTCATTTTGAACTGTTCCCGGAACACTATTTAAATAGTTTCGCGGTTTTTACAACTTTTGTTATGTTTGATTTTTAATGCTGGTAAAAACTTTTAACTGACGTGAGATAGAGTTTAGTTTAAACATTGTTTTATCGACTTTTTCTTTTTTAATTTGATAATAGACATAAAAAATGTTAATTTTATACATTCGTATAAAACGTGCATCGTGGTGTGTATATATATATATATATATATATGGACTTTCGATCCTGTATTATGTAACGAAAATATTTTTATCTCTAACTACATTTCCATAAAATGGTAATGGAGGAATTGGTGAAATTGTTAGCAGTAAACCCGGCATTCCCAGCAGAAAATAATGATATCTTAACTACGGTCGACTAACAAAACGTTAAAAAACTTTCAGCACACACACACACCACTAACAAGACCGTTGTTAGTCTAACTAACTAACTAACTAACTATTTACCTAAATATTGTCATCGTCGTTGAATAAAATAGATTTTATTTATATCTTTAATTATTTAAAATATAGCTGTAATGTGAAAATAAGAGTCGTGGAGACTGTCAGAGACAAGATTTATTTATTTTCATTCGATTATAAAAATCTTAATTGCGTGTCGAATTCAAAATAAAAGCGCGCTTTTAAATGCATCATTAATCTTGCTTTGACGTTTGTTAACCTCAGCATGCATTGAATTAATTGAACGCTCCGAGAAAATGAGAAAATTGCATTAGGGATACCCATTTCTAATAAATCATTTTCAGTATTTGATATATTTCCAATAAATATACTAATATATAAAGCTGAAGAGTTTGTTTGTTTGACCGCGCTAATCTCAGGAACTACTGATCCGAATTGAACAAATATTTTTGAGTTGTGGTTAGAGCATTTATCGAGGAAAGTTTTATATAAGCTATAAAATATAGTGTGTGAATAATAAGAGCGAAGAAACAGCAGGAAATGTTGAAAAAACTGGGAAAATTGTTCATCTTTGTGGGTTTCCGATGAGTATGCTGCGAAGACGGTTTAAGGTACCCAAAAAATATGTATGAAATCGCCTTTAAATGACCTAAAAAAATATTGGCACCACTGTATGTCTATCTTTAAAGATTAAATTTATAAAGATGAAGAGGTGATTTGCAAAAACAAATTTGGATACCCAAAATAAGTATACCATGCGGACAAAGTCGCTGACACAGCTAGTTTGATATATAAACGAAATGTAATAGATTTCAGTATTCAATACGTTCGTTACGGAGATATGTTTCGCTTTGGAAAATTTGTATGGTTTCCGCTCGGCTACGCTACGAATTTTCTTATCCAATTATGTAGGCTGCAGTGCAGTGCAGATGTTTCATACATCATTCAGAAAGCAAGTCCTGGCCTAATGACATCTTGAATGTCTTGACCTATTGTGGTAATGGTCTGCACGTTAGCTGTTTTAGTCCAGTGTTTTTGCACTTATGTATTTTTTCTTGGCAAACTTCTACTGTCATAATAATAGGTTTCAATATTTCCCAAGATGCAACGCTAAGATAGTTTCTTCAACGATAGTAATTTGTTACAGGAACATGACAGAGAAAATATCTATTAATACAATTATATAGTATATAAGATAATAACATAGTCTTTACGTTAATATATAAATAGATATTTTATAATTAATTTTCTTACATTTTCATGGTAAAGAAGGACAGAAGAACACGGGGTTGACTTGATGAGAGGTGAAATACCAGAACCATATAGCATCTAAACAAGATGCGCTTTCGGCGCATTTAGGATTTAGATGTTCGGAGAACCACAGTTTGAAACCGAAACGCGATTAAACTTCACGGCTTTTTTTCATCCGACGAGGGTTCGTGACCCGGGCAGAATTTAGATATTTCTATAGCCCATTCAATAAACAGCGTTTTAAATAAAAAAAATATTGGTTAATTAAATAAAACTTTATGATACTGTCTATAGTTTACGCGAGTAGTACGCATTTAAATAAAACACTTTAACGGTTTAAAACGCGATATATTAATTAAACTTATTTGAAAATGATTTTTAATTTCAGCCCGACGTTTCGGATGCTTTGCAACAGCCGTGGTCACGGGGAGACACGGCTGCTGCAAAGCATCGCGTTTTAAACCGTTAAAGTGTTTTATTTAAAACTTTATGATGCCAATTATAACTACTATCTTCTTCTTTCAAAATTAATGAACCAAAATAAAAAGTTTCGTCCGGACAGGAAATAGAATTTGTATGAACTACTTGCGGGTTAAAAATTGATAAGTGAAACAGACATAATTTGTCTGCCACGTGTAGTGTTCCCCCTCTAAAGGGGGAAACTGGTTTTCACACATAGGTCACGCAACAGTAAATCTCCAAGTGCTTCAATTTCGGACATCTTTTCGAGGAAAACAAGCTGAATCACTCGTAAAACACTTAGGGGCGAAAGAAATAAGTCTTTGTATGTTTGAACATAACATTCATTTTTCTTTAAAGTTTTCTCAAGAAAGGCGATATTTCAAGATGGTGTCGATACTGCTCTTGAAGCATTTACGCCAAGTGTTTTACGGTAGATACAAGTGTTATTACGTTTATATTTCAAGCACATTATTAAAATTGCCTTTATAAGTTATATCTTGAAGACAGTTTATTTTTGGGGCCATATAGCGTAACCAAGATGCAATGTCGAACTATTTTGGCTTTGATCCACAGACGAAACCGAAATGAAATTTAAAGATTACTTCTTTTTCATCTGTGAACGCTGGTTCGTGACCCGGACGGAATTTTGATATTCCTACCACCCATTTTACATCCATGTTTCAGAAAAACTAGTTACTATAATGTAATGTATTTAATTATGTACATTTATGATTTTTATGTTTTTATATATATATGTATATATATATGTATTTATTTTTAATATAAATCTACTTACCATCAGTTATAAACGGATATATGGCACGCAATTCAGCTTCATATTCTTCAAGTGAAATGGCTGGAGGTATAGGCGGAACGTAGTCTTCCTCGGGAGATCTTTCTGAACCGTAGCCCTGGTCAAATCCAGGATCTTGCAGCTTCCACACTGGTTCCGCATCAGAACCTAGAAGCATATAATACTTGCTTAGGATAAAATAGTTTAAATATATGTGTAACAAGCGAGTAGTGGCTTACATTACGAATATCTAACGCCAAAATAGGCCGACAACACATCTTGTTTAAAAGTTATATAGCTGAGGTATTCTCCCATTACGTGAACTTCATGCGTGTCTGTCCTCCTCTATCATTAAAAAATAAATATATTTAATTTTTCTATTTCTTTTTAACTAGCTAAACTTTAAAAATGCGTAAAATAGTTTAAATAGATCATAATAAGCTAGAATAAGTCATTATGAATATCTAGCGAAAATAGGCCGACAACACATCTTGCGTAAATATTATATTGCTATTTCTTCTTAACTAGCTGAACTCTATATTATTTAAAACGTATAAAATATACATTGTTTATACTCTCTAGATGTAATTATATTTTACATCTTTCTCTCCTACTTCGTTTATGTAAGAATATCAATGTTTCCTTTTATAAAATTAAGAAAATCTCTTAAAACAAAACCATTAAAATATTATTTCTGAAACTGAAGGGTACTTTGACCCTTTTTACCCAAGTTTAAGAAGTTGAATAAAGTTTTAAAGATATCAGTATCCATTGGAATTTGATTACTTTGAAATATAAAAAGGAAATTTGCATTAAAAATAACTTTATCCATTCTATTTCTTTATTGGTTTTTCACATTAACTTTTAAGGTAATTGTTAGTTGTATATTCTTATTAGATCATCAATAGAAGTATGTATAATATATAGGATTTATTCAGAAATTTATTAGACATAACAGTTTAGTGTGAATCCCTCGCTTAACGTCCATAAGTAAATATCGTGTACGCAAAAAAAAACATTTCTCAGGTCATCTATTAAGATTGACAAAAATACGACCCGGGCGGGACTTGAATAGGTATCTACAAAATTCCGTGATGCTGCTTTAACCAATTTACAATTAGCTTAAAAATACAAATTAATTCGTTTTCCATCTAAATGGATTTCTCATTTAAAAATGCCATCATATGCAACATTAACTGAAAATTGTTAAAGTTTTCACATGTTATTGCACATGATGGCACTATACAAATTAAAATTTTTTTATCTAAATTACGTCCCATCTCTGTCGTATTTTTTTTTCAATAAATAAGCGACTTTTTAAATATTAAAGTTTTCAAAATGTTAACATTACATAAGCAACTGAGTGAAAGACTTTATGTTATTACATTTGTTGATAACATTATTATAAGCGTTAGCATTATAGGCTAAATACACGATAAATCAGGATTAGTCAGATGTCTAGGGGATTGAAGTTCCGTACAAGAGAACGCGGTTTAACCGCACTGCAACGGAAGCAAATCAAGTATTCACGTTTCTATGTTTCCTCGTGCCGACACTGTCTCGAGTAGTGTTACCAACCGTTCCGTACTTCACGGGTCATTCCGGATTTCATATAAAACGTGTTCCCTAGCTCGTAAGAAGTCCTGGTTACGAACACTAGGGAAACAATAATGTATTATGGTCGGACAGGGAACAGAAGTCTGATCAACTGATCAACTGGAAAAAACCGATCATTGAAATGGACATAGAGATGTGTTTGCCCCATGCCCCGCAGGAATCGGGATTTTATGAATGTGCATGCAAAGTTATCAATGACGAAAATATGCAGACCACGGTCAGATTAAATGGAAGACTATTTAATGTCGGTTAAGACTGTGTTTCTCTTTAAATATTTCAAAATACAATATGATATTTCATTTATGTGTAATACTAAGCATACTTTTAAGAAAAAATACTGATTAAAAAACTATAGTTTTACTTGTCTCGGGTGAAAAATATCCCGTATTTTTAAAGATTCATGTTTATTTGTCTCTTTAAGCTGATAAAAAGTTGGCTACCCTAGTCTGGAGTTAGAATTGCTGGATAATTACAGATGATACTAGACGATATATGTATATTCAGTAGATGTATGTTGTTACTATGTATTGAATGACGACACCGCTTAATAATACACGAACAATGGGCCTCAAAATTTAATTTAGCTTTTCTAGTCCTACTATTTTATTGCACCGTGGTTCAAAAATCTGGTTCCTTTTGAACACAGAAATCTGATCAACTCAGCAAATCGAACAGAAGTCGAATCATTGGTAGTTGTTCAGATTACTGTCAATAAAAACGTTTATTGAAAAACACAAACACATACGTCTGCCACACACGCTTGCGACAAGCTTTCATAGTTAAATTCAAAAAAATAAGAGTGTTACGTACAAACTTTTGACAGGCTCGTCGGTGTAATGTTCGCGATGTATGGATAATATCAACGGATCGCGGGTTCGATCCCCACCTTGTCAACAGCTTTCTAATCAGTTAAAAAAATCTGAAACATGTTGCACTTCCTCTGGACAGGATCCAGATTTCCAACCACCGGCTATCGATATTCCGCCCAAGTCACGAACCAGCGGCCACAGATGAAAAAACCAACAAGTTGAATTGCGTTTCTTATAAATATGCACTCTATTATTAAAAATTACAACCATGTGAGGTTTTTTTTTGCACGCTTCGTCCTATAATTCAAAATTCTTTTCAGTTGTGTTCTCAATCTAGAGTCGGATGACGTCACAGACAACGACCTTATTGATTATGTGGTTAGTGCGTTCTTGGGTCTCAAATTGTTCTACATTATATAGGCATATGGTCCATATATGAATTGTGGAAAGTGCACAAAGATGTTTAAAGTATCATTATGTTCGTTTGTTAGGATGTGTATTCAAAAACACGACACAGAGATAAAATTACAACAGCATAAACTAACATGAACAACACTGAAAGTTAATTTGAATTTCAAATGAAAATTCGTAGAAATAACACAGCATTCAAACAAAAATAACAGCGACATGATAAAAGCAACGCGGCCGCCGCCGAAAAATTAATCTGACTCTCAAATTAAAATTCGAATATCAAAAGGTACGAATTGAACAATCCCCCGAAAATCAAAACGTTTACTTTGCTTCGACGTTTTTTACTACAAAGGAGGTTAAATTTTATGGCGTATAATATCCGCTTTCATTCCCAGACTTTCTTTGTTCCTAAACAAAGAATAGCTCTATTGAGTGAGCCAGCAAAATGTGCTTTTGCGTGCCTAAGATTAGTTCGTGGCGCCGCGAATACTGGAAAACATTTCGACTACAGTATTCCACCCCGTTTTATACACATTTAGGCCTTCCTTGGTCTGAGTGCATCGTTATGCAAGTATTGCATGGCACGAAGTCATAAAATTGGATGAATGCTGTTACAAATGGCTTGAAGCATGAATAAATAAGCTAACTCGAAAAAGCATGGAATACTAACATTATACGTCTGAAGAGTTTGTTTCGCGCGATAATCAGGTGTGCTGATTCGAATTGATAAATTCTTTTTATGCAACTTAATAGACCAGTCATCGAAGAAGGATTTAATGCCCAAAATAGCTATTCTACGCGGACGAAGTCGCAGGCACAGTTAGTATCCTATAAGGTCTCTCGTCAACAAGTGCAGAGGGGGTTATTTTAGATTTTCGAATATCATTGTAACTGTGTCTGTTAGTTATATATTGTGTGCGACATTATAAGTGAGATAACACAAGCTTTTGTATGACGTGTGTTAAAATTAAACTTTCTCAATTCCTATCTCGAACATGACAAAGCAGTCATTCCGACAATTATTCACGTAACGTGAACTTGACAAATGCTGTTATTATTAATCAATGTATAACAGAAACAAAGAAACAAAATATACCCCTTTAGACCGAAAAAATAATCCATATAAATAATATATTAGTTTTGTAAATGCTAATTTTATTATTAGAAAATTCTATGATATGAAAATTATTTTTAGGTTGATAACTCGTTAATATGTAGGTAATAATAATTTGGGGCTCTGTTAGACACATGTCTCTATAAACCAAATTGTAGTTCAAATAAAACAGTTTAACGGTTTAAAACGCAAAATATATTAGTTATCTTAGTTTTGTAATGTATTTTAACTACAGCCTGACGTTTCACGTGGTCACGGCTTCCGAAATATATTTCGCGTTTTGAAGCGTTTTATTTAAATTTGCACTATTGGAGCAGATAATATACTATACCGCGCGTAAGTTATCTCTGTAAAGTTCTTAAATGTCACAAATGCAATAGAACTTAAAAGTAAAAGTTGCAAGGAATCTTGTTCAAAGAAACTTCGTCACTTAAAACTCGGCATTTCCGTGGTACCATCTTGTAAGAAGAGTTTTTATCCGCTATTTGCAAGAACAGTATTAAATTCTAGGTTCATTTAAGAGAAATTATAATTGTACTATTTAGTGAAATTTCCAGTAATGTATCAAACATTACTGGAAATTTCACAGACTACATACAGAATATACTAAACATTACAGTCGACAACATTTTTCATAATCTATAATTTGCGTCCAGCTTAAATTGACTAACGGTGTCTTCGCGTTCACAGATATGCTATTTTTTGCAAAAAAAAACGTGAGTGTTTTATTTAAATAAACTGTTTGTTGTAAAGATATAAAAACCTCCCGCACATAATCCGATAAAAACACTAAACTGCACATGCTCATGTATATTTTATAAGCATCGGCGTTTGGTTATACGCACAATTTCTATCCAATGAATTACTTTTATCATTAATTATTGCCTTGTTTGTTGAGCTCTGAATAGGAGAGGAATTACTGTGAGAGCGGCTTTTAATTTCGAGTGATTCAATAGAAAAATATTTAGCACAAATAAAACGGTTGCAGCGCAGCGAAATTTAATCAAGCCAGCAGTTAATCTTTGTTTGAGTGTTTGTAATGCGCTATGGACGGCAACGGAAATGTAGTGCTATTAGAGCGGGCTCGTATTTAAACGCTGATTTTCGTGATAGTTTCATGATGATCAAGCATAGTTCACTTGATAGAAGACAAAATACCATTCATTTATATGCGCTGTCAACTTTTTGGTCTTGGAAATTTGATAATTTAAAAGGTT